AAAATAAAGAAATGAGAAAAAATTGCCCACAACGTATAAAATTGTATTCGTAATTATATACAGAATATTGTATGATGTAATTGTAATTTTATTTCTTGTAAAGGAAAACAATGCAAAAATTATTTTTCTAATTTTTTACTTACTTTCTCTATATATGGACAGAAATTATACAAGAGAAAGAAAGTACGTATCTATTCTATCAGAATTGAAAAAGTTATTTTTAAAAAATAACTTGTTACCATTATTGATCGTTATCGAATGGAAAAAGTAACTCATTAACGTTATCGTTGCTCAAAAAGTAACAAAAAAAGTAACGCCATTACAATTTTCGTTATCTTTTACCCAATTGTCAATCAATAATACTAATGCTAATTGACCAATCCAACAGTGAGACTTATAATGGTGTAGTTAATTGCAACATAGTCACACATACATTTTCTTTTCTCGCGCTTATACATACACGGAAAGAATAATTCTGCTTCAGATCTGAAAATAATTTTTGTTCAATAATCAAAATAATTTTGTGCTAAAGTCAAAATGATTGTTAGAACACCAAACGTACGTTTTATAGCTATGGTTATATATTAATTTTAACATTCCAACAAATTATTTTGATTCAATAAAAAATTTTTTCAGATTTATATTTAGCAAAATTTTTAGACTTTCAACAAAATCGTACTTTCCGTGTACATGCACTATTCCATATATATATATATATTGTACAATTAAAGTAATGATTATGTTTGTTACCGTTACTAAAAAAATGTAACTTACCATTAATAATAAAAAATATAGTGCCATTACGAATTTATTACTAAAGAAAAATAAAAGATCAAAATCTTAAGAGACATAGAGACATAAGAGAATTAAATTATAAATCACTTACAATTAATAAAGGAGCAAATAAGCCAAGCAAGACATTAGTGCTACTAATTAACAATAAAATTCACATAAAATTAAAATTAATAACCAAACGTTTCGATCTAACTCATTAGATCATCCTCAGTGTTAGTACATAAAATTATCATTAAAGTTTTCGAACGATTACGATTAATTGTTGCGTTTAAAGTCTTGACTTTTATATCATCTTAATGTAAGTTTTAATATGTAATCACACTGAGGTCTAATGCGAAATCGAAACGTATGATTTATTAATATCGGTTTTATTAATTTCATATAAATTTCATTATTGAAAAAAAAATAACTTTAACGATACCTATGTTACAAGTAACGCCGTTACGTGTCAAAAAATGTTGTATTTTATATATACCTACTTATTACAGACAGATTTCCTTTTAGAGCGGGTTACACACTGCAGTTTCTATTCTCTTACTTAAACTTCTCTACATAATCGCGCGTTTATTTACACGGTTCTTTTTTTCCTTCCAATTACAGCTAATGCCTTTACAAGAGTCCTCCACGGTCCTCCGAGCTATGACGTTACACCGTTACGTCGATTCGTTTATATGCGTAATAACGTCTTGCGTAATTTACGATCGAGTATGTGTAACATCATCTGGATAGCCGCGGCAATCGCGAGCGAGATATGAAAATATGCAATATCAACGCGGGTAGGTTCGAAAATAGATCGACAGTCATCGAGAGTAGCCAAAGTTGATAACCGCGCGCGTCTGCAAATAAGTCAGATCACGGGAGATTACAAATGAGACTGTCATAAACTGTCCGTCATAATTCCTAGTATCGAGAAGGTATTTCCCTCCGAAGTGTATAGTTTACATTTACGTCAGCGGGAAACGCTTGAAGTGCGACAAGAAACGTGTGACTTACCTTCCTACAGGTGTATATATCCACGAAGATGTATATCCGTATATATATATATTACGAACGATCCTCGGAAAAGTGAATCTACGAATCGTGTACTCTCCCAACTGGACTTTTAACGGTGGAAAGTGTCACTAAGTTTATAAGACAAAAAAACAGCAGTTGCGACCATCATAGTCGCGCGTTCATGGCGAAATAAAGATCCGTTATCCGTGAACGCGGATTTTACTTCTGTTGATAAACAAAATTCTAATAAATCAAGAAATTTCTTATTTCATTGATCATACATTACACTTAATGAGAATTAATTATAATATATTAACACTACATTTTATTTTTTTTATTTTATATTATACAATGCCGAGATAAGCTGATTTGTTTACGAGCAATTAAATATGTTAATATCGACAATTTTTCTTTTTTTTAATTTGTATTTAGTATTAAATGATATATACATATATTTAAGAAAGGAAGATATATTTAGAAAACAAATTTATTTAACTTGAAAAAAATTAAGACTCCTACTATAATGAATAAATTATAAATAATTCAATAGTGCGAGCCGACACGGATGTTGGTGTGTAATAATTTTGTCAGTCTTGACTTGAACACAATTCTTGCATGAGGTCAAAATCCATTGCAACGAATTAAATTGTCAAATATTTTAACTTTTGATGTTAATAAACATCTATAAATCTAAGAATCCTCCCCTTAAAAACTGTGAAGAAATTTATTGCGAGAAATATCATCTCAGTCGGGAATCGAAACTGGATCTCCGAATATATGCGGTGCGCTGTTTGTATGCATGTGGCTTGATATTGTGATAAAAATTATTATACCAATATCCGTGTTGGTCTATAAAAGTACTTGAGTTATTTATAATTAAAACAAATTAATAGTTGAGTATTGTATTTCGACGCGTCTCATATTTCACGTGGTATATCTTATTAATACTTTCTAATCTATGATTTTATAAAAAAATATATTTTAAAAAAAATTTCTCAGTCTGCGATTTCTATTTCTTCATCGATCATATTTTTCTTTTGCGAATTTTTATCGATATATATATAGTGCGTTGTGATTTATTCAAATATATTTTTAAAATTAAACAAATTATCTGTGATTATGCAAGTAATATGTAATAAAACGATTTAATTCAAAATTCGAAAAAAGCATTCCTGTGTTAATTCTACGTCTAAATAAAATCTTTCCGAGGAAAAAGCATTACATACATTGCACAATACAGAGAATTAACGATAACAATTTGAAAAATAATACAAAAGACGATATATGAAAACATGAACACAATTTTGAAAACGAAACGTTGCGAACGATAATAATGATGCATTCGTGTTAATTTTATCGTTGAATAAAATTCTGCAACTTCAGCAACGAGAGAAGAATCGTAGTAAATGATAACAAGCAACAAATGAAAGTAGAAAAAAATTGCGTTTTTTTGCCACTTTTAACATTTTCTTCCGGAAAACGGAAATTAGTTTCTAATTAATGAACCCAACGGCATCTGAAAGTATCATTCAAGAGCTTTCGAATAAATTTTTATAACGTATGATTTTTTTCATCAAGTTATGGCTGTTTGAATTTTATAGATTATTTTTTATACACTGTGTTTAAAAAAACACTTTTTTCTCTCTTCAAAGTGACCAAAGCACTTTCATTCCAATTTACTCAAAATCCTGACGTGCTAGGCGAATTCTTCAAACGGCATCGTGTTCAACACGAAAAAAACGCCTCGAGAAACGTATGGAGAGAGAAAAAAAGTGATTTTTTTTGTGACACAGTGTATAAAAAGTCTAAAAATATATAATTCAAACAGCCATAGCTTGATGAAAAAAAAGTCGTATTACGGTCATGAACTAAAGTTCGTTTGAAAGCTCTCGAGTGATACTTTCAGATGCCGTTGAGTTCATTTAGAAACCAGTTTTCATTTTGTCGCAAGAAAATGTTAAAAGTGGCGAAAAAGCACCAGATTTTGCTACTTTCATTGCCAATTTACTCAAAATTTTGACGTGCTGGGGGAATTTTTCTAATGGCATCGTGCTCAGCGCGAAAAAATCTTCGGGAAACGTATGGCCGCGCTTCGGAGAGAATTTTGTTGTACCACAGTGTTATCATTAAAAAACATAAAATATTATCAATCCCCCGCACGATTCCATTTTTTTTGTACGTATCAGCCTCATCGCTTTTATTAGTCTTCCGTTACTCATCCTCACGTATGTCGTAAATGAAATATTGCATTGCCGAGACGATATAGCAGCTGATAATCGTTTTACTTCTCGTGCACGAAGCTAGGAACGGATCCTGTGCAAGCGAAAGGACCTTTGTCCCCTCCCCCTACCTTCGGTTCGCAGCGCGACGTGGGTGATGAAATGCGCGAGCCGGCCGCCCGCGCCGCGGTGACGCAGAATCACGTAATTTGTATATATTACATAAAAAAAAGTAATTAAAGTTTTTAAGTACGCGGCCATCGTAATTAGTTTCAAAGTATACACGGAGATATTGCTTCGAGTTGGGTAATCACACGGAGCGCGCGGAGAGTCCGGCGAATTTTCACGAACGCAAAGAGAGACGCGGGAGAGATTGGTACAAATCGTGGAAGAATAAAGAGTCGTTCCCGGGGCGAGACATCCCGGCGACTTGGCGCAACCGCTCTATTATTATTTTAAGTTTCTTGTTCCCCTTATTCCCTATTTTAATCATCCCCCCGCGATCTCGCGCGTATCCGAAAAGCTGCACATGCATACGCACGTCGCTTTATCAATTTTTATACGATCTAGCGAAAGAAGGAATCTGCCGAACGCGTGCGATAAGACGTACGTGACATGTGCAGGTTTGTCACATGTGCAGGTTGCGCGATGTATGTACATACTCAAATATGACGTGCGCCGCAACGTGCGGGGAGAGGAGGGGGGGGGGGAGGTGAGGGAATTGTTTGCTCCCAAAGGAGGTGGACGGGGGAAAGGGGAATAAAGTGGATTCGCAAGTTTAGAGAAGAGGGCCGGCGAGTGTATAAGGTATATTGCGCAAAAAACGAGGGTGGATCTCCGTGCCCCGACGACGTGGAGGAGGGAAGAGGGGAGGCACGATCTCGGCGACTACGACGACGACGACGACGACGGCGGCGGCGGCGGCAGCGGCGGCGGCGTGGGGATATAGGGAGGGCGGTAACACGGGTATATATGCTCGATGCGGCCGAGACTAGCTACAGTTCACCAGGAGGTTCAAAAGCGACGCGAGAAAGGAAGGATCATATCGGTCATACGCGCGATCGAGCTTGGGGATCGCAATATCAGTGAAGAGTCGACATAAAGAAGTAATTCTCGATATAGAGAGACGAAATTAGAGAGAGAGAGAGAGAGAGAGAGAGAGAGAGAGAGAGAGAAGAGAGGCAACAAGTGATCGGATCGGTGTCAGAAGACATATATATACTTGTGGCACGAACGTCGGCGATTAGCTTCAGCTCCCGTTCTCATCTCACTATAGATTGATTGTGGTGCACGCGAAGATGAATCTGTCGATCGGCACGTCGGTTCTATGCGTCCTGCTCGTGGCCCTGCTGTCGGAGACGGTGTACGCCAAGCCGGCCGCATCTCCTTGGTATAATATGCAGAGGTATGTAACACGATCTCTCTTCTTCTTCAGCAACCCCCCTCGCAATCTTACCCCTAGATGTAGTCCGCTTCCTCTTAATTTCTCCGCTCAATTCTATCTTGCGTATATCGCAGTTGATGCCACTTCTTTCCTATTAAGGGGGCATATACACCTATAAGACACGTCGAAAGTCTAACTTTGCGAATTTTTTTACAGAAAAACGAAAAGAAATAGAGAAGTCAGGTTTGGTTCATTGAAAAGATCATATTTTTTTCTTGTTAAATATATATATATATATTTGATTAAGAAATTATTAAAAAAATGGCTTCGCTTTTTAACTTTTTCATAGTCGTGTTTTGAAAACGGCTTTTGCGATGATCACTGCTGTTTTTACAGGATTCATCTGAAAGCAAAATGCAACAAGTTATACATAAAAAGTTAAAATATAGATCTAGTTCCCTACGAAGCTGTTTTTCAAAATATTGCATTTGGATAATATGGCAGCTGGTCAAAGTCAACATAGCGATTTATCACTTTAAATATCGCTCGTTTTTTAGCTTTGGCAAAAAAAATGAAGGATCGTAAAAAAATCCTATGTACGGAAGTTTTTAATGTCTAGAAAAAGCGTATAAAATTGCAAGTTAAACGGTCACAAATCATTTTCGAGATATAGTGGTCACGCGTTTTGAAATGCACGTTCCGAGAAAAACGCGTTTAAAGTTTTACATTCAGATTACACTGCAAAAATATTAAAATATTTTCACTTACATTAAATCATCTACTTCTGGGCCATAAAGCAAACCCTCTGCTGAAGTAGATGTTTCCAAAAAATCGCTTTACGATCCGATCGCAGACATGACGCAACAGATCGTGTTTGATACGTCAAGCATGATTTGAGCGATGTTTAGCGCGCTCGAATCTACTCAACTATAATTTCGTGTAACTGTTTCATCTTTCGTCGGATTGACCTAAAGCTTTATAAAAACATTCTTAAGACATAATACTTTAAAAATATGTATTTAAAAAAAATCGATTTTTTTTACCTCTCTAAGTGTATATATATATGCCCTCATAAGTACGCGAAAAGAATGGTTTTGCTGAAATATCTAAAACTTTAGCTACTTCAACTAGAAATATAGATTGAAAATAATTTTGTGATACCATTAGAATTATCGAATAATTATGTAAAAAATTCAGGCATGCTACAAGAAATTTTGATATTCCAAAACTTTACAGAAAATAATTTTATAGGGCCACATTAAAATTATCAAATAATTATGTAGAAAATTCAAGCATGATGGGAATGCTACGAAAAAAATTGATGTAACAATTAGTTTGAATGTCCTATATAATTATTTTAATTCAAGTTCAACAAAATTATATTTCCAAATGAACACGGAAAGAACAATTTTGCTGAATCTAGATCTGAAAATAATTTTTGTTCAATAATCAAAATAATTTTGCGCGAAAGTCAAAATGTTTGCTAGAATATCAGAACGTTTTATAGCAACGCTTATCTGTTTTAACATTTCAACAAATTATTTTGATGATTCAGCAAAAAATTATTTTCAGATCTGTTTTCAGTAAAATTTTTAGATTTTTTAACAAAAATCGTTCTTTCCGTGAAGCTAGAGTTTTATATATCTCAGCAAAAAATTGTTCTTCCCGTATACCTTTGCCCTTATATATCCCTTTATCCATCGCCTTTCCGTCTTTCTAATCCAATTTTAATCTCTATTGCGCTATGTGTTTGGTATCTTAAATCTTCTTCCGAGATATACGCGGACGACAGAGAATCAAATTAAATCGAAGTTCCAAGGGGAATCGCGCGCCGCTCGGTTGTCGAACAATCGTATCCTCTTTCCAAGAAGCGTACGGGATGCCGTGAGGCAATTCGTAAAATTATTGCGACACCTCGCTTTCTCCACGATCGACGGGATTCAAATTCAACGTCGATTTGATTTTTAATACGTCGCCGATCGTTCCCGTTCAATCGCGATATCGCGTTACCGTTTCTGCAGACAATAAAAAAAATTAGATTTATTTGAAATAATACGCGGAAAGAACGATTTTGTGCTGGATACACAGAACTGAAAATAATTTTGTTGGAAATTCAAATTGATCGCAGAAACGTCAAAACAGTCAAAACGTTTGGTATAGCAATGCTCATAATTTTTGAGTTTCCAAAATTATTTTGATGATCCAACAAAAAGTATTTTTAGATGCAGCAAAATTTCTGGATTTTCTAGCAAAATCGTTCTTTCCACGTACGATCTCTAATCTCACGTCGTTATTCAGATAACAGCCGCGCGATCGGCTGTATTGTATGAATAATTTAGCGCGAATAATTGCAAATAATGCGAGCAATAATTGGAAAATGATGTAGAGAATCTTAATTAGGCTCGGATCCAACGATCTCAATCTCTGTTGTCCACACGAACAAGGCGGCCGACTTCCTTTCTGAAACCTCCGCACGCGGTGATAACGTGTTTGTCGAACGTAGCCGAGACTTTGTCGCGCTCTATCTGTGTCGCGTATGCGCTTGTATGATTAGCGCACGGCTATTGAGACGACGCGAGTACGTCTTTTTTCCCCCGCCTCTCTCGTGTATCGAGATTAAAACTGTCGCGGTTATGATCGATTGTGGGACGGCTTCATATATACTCAAATTGGAATTTCCGAAATAATCTCCGAAGAAAGTCGCGCGAACTCAGTCAGTCGCCCGAGTAGAAATTTGGGTTCGATGCACGGAAAGAACGATTTTGCTGGAAGGTCTAAAAATTTTACTGGATACAGATCTGAAAATGATTCTTGTTGGACCGTCAAAATAATTTTGTTGGAAAGTTGAAAATGATAAGCATTTTTAACCTTCTAACAAAATTATTTTAATATTCCAGCAATCAGTTTGATTTTCCAATAAAATTATTTTGATTGTACAATAAAAATTATTTTTAGATCTATATCCAGCAAAATCGTTCTTTCCGTGATAGGAATCAGGATCAAATTAGGCATGCTAGATTTGACGTTCAGTCCTAATTCGGCTATCCAATCTGGCACTGATAAGGGATGTAACGCGTTTCAAAGATTTGGACCTGATCATGTATGCCATGGTATTGATATGGCAATTAGAATAATATCCTGATCAGGTATGGCATACATCAGGTCCAAATCTCGGAAACGTGTAATTACATTGCAAATCCAAATGTGTATACGTGCCTCAATATGCGATTTAGTTTTTCGTGTAAAAATAATATTATATTACACACAAAAAAATGGAAATTTACACATTCAAACGTGCAGTAGTATAGTAGTATATTATATATTTACACGAAAAATCACACACTTATATTGAGGCACTTTTTATACATTTGGATTTGCAGTGTAGTAATAAATTTAAAATAAAGATATTATAAATTTTTTAAATTATTATATATAACATTAATTTTATGTATTGCATAAGAACTTTTTAAATCAAATTTTAAGTACAAATTCAGAATACATATTTAAACATTAAATGTTAAATTTAAATAATCACTTCAAGAGAAAAATACAAAAATAGTTGCTAACGATACAGAAATGTAGATAAAGAAAAGGTATAACAAAATAGAAAGATGTTATGCTGATCCGAGGAAAATACGAAAGAAAAAAATTAAAGAAAGATAAAAAAATAAATTACGCGTTTAAAGAGCCTAATATTGTATTTTAATAATAACCGAATTTGCTATATAAATTTAATTTTAATATAAGAATCATGTATTTAATATAATATTTTTAATTAAAATTTTAAGATAGGTATACTAAATCTGAAATATACGTGCCAAATCCGGTAATTATTTGAATCTTTTCCATGCACACCGGACATAAACAAAAAATTATATAATTTCTTATAAAATATAAAGATGTACATATTTACATTTATGTATATATTTTTTATAAAAATTATTTAATTCTTTGCTTCTGTCCGGCATATGGAAAAGGCCCAAATAATTACTTGATTTGATATGTCGAATCTGGCACACCTTGTCAAAATTTATATTTGAGTCTGATCTGGCGCAAGCTAAATCTAATATGCCGGACCAAATTTTTATTCGGATCCTTACTGACGCCTTTCCTGTCGAATCGATCCCTACGAGAATATTTTGTAACATTGTCGATTTATTGCAGACCGCGATATAAACGCCAGTCCGACCAGAGAATGGCCGAGCTCGAGACACTTTTGGCGCTGGAAAAAGTGAAAGGCATCGTGGTGCCCATAGGATTTGGAGTAGTCGACCCCAAAGTCGTGTAAGTTCATCTTTTAATTTATTGTTTTGAACAATGATAGTTAATAATTTATTAATTTTCACACACACACACACACACACATATTTCATATATTTGTTTAATTGATTTTTCAAGTATATTTCTGAGCACAATCATTTACACAGGATTTCCTTTTAAACGTATATTAAGAGAACAAAAAGTGCTGTGCAAAAGTGTTCGATAATCTTATACGATTAAAAGCGTCGCTTTAATTCGATAAATTTAATTACTGTGCCATCGTAACGCAGATAAGATTAATTGCTATAGGACGTTAATCGCGTCAAGTTATAAAAATTGTACAATTAATTTTATTAATTCTTTGAATATATATTTCTAAGCGCTTACTTCGCGAAACTTCCTCGTAAATATATATTTTAAGAGGGCAGAAGAATGCTATCGCGATAATCCTGTACAAGATTAAAATCGTCTATTCGCTGAAATTTACGTCAAATTGAATAACTGCGCCGTCGTAACGTAGACAAGATTAAATAGTAATCGCGAGCAAGTTAATCATAATTATGATAAGAATTACGCATATCATTAATCTTTCTTCAATTTCTAAACGCAATTGCTTGTTTGCGGAACTCAGTTTTACACGTATTTTCAAAGAGTATTAAAAGGAAGTATTTTACGAAAACAGAATAAAATGCTACCAATGGCGAAATTAAAATTTTCCGTTTGCTAAGATATTTACCAACTTCTATTTAGTTGCGCCATCGTAACGCAGATAAAATTAAATGATAATCACGAGGAAGTTAGTCACAATTACGATAGGAATTATGTCACTAATCTTAAATACATTTTTAAACGCAATTGCTTGTACGCAGAACTTTCTTTTGAAACGTAAAAACAAACTTTTAAACTAGTAAAATGATGAACTTTACGAAAACAAAAAAAATGCTGTCGCGATAGTAAAATTAAAATTGTTTGTTTGCTGAAATTGCCAATTTCCACCGTTGCGCCATCATAATGCAAACAGATTTAATTATAATATGGTAGGAGAATAGTTATGTCGTGAGACTTGTACCATCAATTTTATTCCTTTTTTCAAATAATATATTTCTACGCGCAATTACGCGAAATTTTCTCTTCGATGACTTTAAAAGGGTAAAAAGACCCTACCAATTGTCTTAAAATTAAAATCCATTAGCTAAAATTTATCAAATTTAATCTGCGTCATAACGCGCGGACAAAATTAAATGCGAAGAAGTTAGTTGTGTCACGCGATAAGAATTAATATCATATTATATTATATTAATTTTTCAAATTATATTTTTGAACGCAATTGCCCGCGGGACTTTCTCTGAAAAATGATTTTAAAAGGGCAAAAATGCTACCAATTAATCCCAAATTAAAATCTCTTCGCTGAAATTTCATTAAATTTTCAACAAATTCAATTTATTGCGCCACCGTAACGCAAACAATTAAATGGCAAAGGAAGTTAGTCATAAAATAAAAATTATATCATTAACTTTACTAATTTTTTAATTTTACTAATTTTTCAAACATATTTTTAAATACAATATGCTTTACGCGCGAAATCTCTTCCGTAAACGTGTTCTAAAAGAGCAAAAAGATATACTATCGATAATTCCAGGGCTAAAATCGTTCGTTCTGCGATTCACCGACTTTTATCGCGCTCCTTTATCGCGCGTTGCATCGCGAGTAACGTCAAAGGGATTAAATGGTAACCGCGAAGAAGTTAGTCATCACGATAAGTATGATACCTCCCTCTTTCAATTCTGGGAATTTCCGTCACCCTTCTAACGAGCGTATACGTACGTATATGCATATACCATTGTTGCCAGATACGCCCGATGGGAAGTATTCTTGATATTGAAATTACTAAATCTTATATTACAACGGTTACGTCAAATTTCTCTCTATCGCTTACGATCCGCGCTCTTTTAACAAACAGTATAGATAAAACATTTTATATATATCGACGCGATGCCGTTAAAGATTTCATCGACCGCCGCGTTGCACTTGTTGCTTCTTCCTCGAGCCTCTAAATAGCCTGCGTACCAGTATGGCGGTTAAAGGATTACATAAAGAGGGAAAGAAAGTAGAAGAGAAGAGGCTAACGAGAGAAGAGTCGCCCGCGACTTGGCATATATATTGAAAGATGGAAAAAACAAATGCCATACGGAAAGAAGAATTTTGCTGAATCCAAATGATTGCTGAAAATAATTTTTGTTCAATAATCAAAATTATTTTGTGCAAAAGTCAAAATAATTTCTAGAATATCAAATTTTATAGCAATACTTATCAGTTTTAACAATTCAACAAATTATTTTGATGATTCAATAAGAAATTATTTTCAGATCTGTTTTTAGCAAAATTTTTAAATTTTTTAACAAAATCGTTCTTTCCGTGCGCTTTGAACATTTCAATATATTCTTACTTCGGTATTTTCGGAGTGATATTTAAGCCGTGCGGAAAAGTGATGCAACGGTACGCGACGATATAAAGTTTTTGGGACTGGTAGTTCAGTAAATAAGCGCTCTTACGCGCGCTTTCGCGAATATCGATTTCAGCGAAAAAAATTAGAAGGAAAAAAAAAGACAACGAAGCGCGTGCGCGCTTTCGCGAATACGCTTACAAATTGCAAATGCAATGACACCTACTGAATAACATAATTGCATCGAGAGAGACGACCGATCAAGGAAAAAAGGAATAGAGAGACTGAGAAAGAGAGAGAGAGAGAGAGAAGACGCGCGATCGCGACGAACGAGGATGAGAAGAAGGCAACGGTAGTAAATGGAAACCTCTAACTGGGTTACTTCTCGTTGAATGCTTCGTGAATAAATTTCTATCCGGATGTTGTTCTCGTCCGGCGGCATTTCTGTGAAAAGGCACCCTGTGTGCGAGCCAGCGAACGCCGCGATATCGCTCCCTCCTCTCCTTCTCTCTCTCTCTCTCTCTCTCTCTCCCCCCCCCCTCTCCCTCCCTCCCTCTCTCTCTCGTCGTTATCACGCGCGTAAATTAATTGACGATATTTGACGATGTCAACCATGTCCAACATCGCGTACGTAATTATAATTACGGGGAACATGAATATCGTCGAGCGCTGTGTACGCTCCCTTCGGCGATGACTGACAAGCCCGGCAGCCCGAAACGCGCAGACTTCTTCGCTCGATATCTTCGATTATTGCGTAAACGCGTATATTAACAACCGAAGTCACGGTGTTACCGCGGAGTGTCGAGTAACACCGAATAATGTATGCGACCCGAATAACGTGCTAAATAAGATACAGCTGATAGTCGCGCGACATGTACAAGTGCGTCGTACAAATTTAATGAAAAAAAAAAAAAAAAAAAAAACGGAATACATGTATATAATCCGTGTCATTTTTGTTTTGCACGTTCATTGGGAATTTACGAACTCCGAACTTTGAGCCAGTCGAGAGGAAAAGAAAAGAAGATGAAGAGCGCACGTGATTGCAATAGGAACGCGGAGCGACCGCGCGATTTCGCGCAGGCGAACACGATCGACGCGCGGCGGAGCGACAGCGAGTAGCGCGATACCGCGAAAAATTAGATACGAAATTTAAAAATACCTCGCGCGCCCGTAAATACGGATGCGACGCGATTGTGCACTCCTCATTAATAGTCGCCCATTATTACGCGAGACCTCCTTTTCGCGTATCTTGACGCGACGGCGTTATCGGGGAGGGCAATTAATTGAGCTCTTTTGATAAACAAATTATGCGACGACAGATATATTGCCACACTCGTTCCACGGGGGGGCCCTCGTATTATTTACGCGCGTGTAACAACCGTTCGGTCAGCGATAAGACATCGCGTCGGATATATTATTGCTTCGCGGCAGAGATCCTCAGCGATTGCATGATTATTGCGTGACTGTTGCATGAGTATCGCGTCGGATGGCGTTATCTCGCTTCCTCTCTTACGGCACAAACATTCAGCATGACCGCGCGAATTTATCTGGAACGCGACGGCCGTTTCTAAAGAAAGACTTAATGTTGATATAGAAATTCAAGTGACCTGTATATTATCAAAACGCATAAACATTTTATTGCCGTCGTGACGATTTAAACTACATGTATAGATTATTTGTTAAAAATTAATAATAATAATAATAATAATAATGATAATAATAATTATGATGATGATGATGATGATGATGATGATGATGATGATAACTTTATTAAAATGTTGGAAATAAATGATGTTTAGATACAGTATTAGAGAGCATTTTAAAATGAGACATCAGCAATTAGGCTGCTTACAAATCTTAAAAGATACAACATAAACAAAAATTAATATAACAATAATAATTATTATTATTATGATTGTTGATGATGACGACGATAATAATAATGACAAAATACGAATATCCAGTGTCGGTTGTTATTGATAATTTATATACTTATGAAATATTTATAAAAGTAAGTAATAAATTGATACAATTGATACATTTGATATAATTAATACACAGAAAAATAATGTAATGACAGTATTAGTCTAATTAAAAATAACCTTAATTAATTCAATAACAATATTAATGAAACAAACATTTTAAAACAAAAGCATATTTGTTTCATTAACGTTGTTGAATCAATTTTTATTAAGATTACACATCATTTTTAATCGCACTGCTATCAGTACATCATTTTCTCCCCACATACATATAAAACTATCAAAGTAGTAAGATCAATGATCGATTGACGTTCCACGTTCGACGGAATCGACTTTTTGACCATCGTTTTTACCATTGTGTTCGTAGAGGCCGTAAACGGAGAGCCATTATCTCGGAGGAAAAACTGCAAAATCTCCTGAAAATGCTCCTTGAAAACGCGGACCAATCGCTGTGGGTAAGTGTTAAGTAATCTCTCGACATCGTCGAGAGATCGATGCGCGCGTAATATACGTATATATTAGGGTGAGTTGAAAATAAATTTTTTTTGAAAATCGATTAGTAATACCCCTCAGAAGTTAGCTACGGACCTCAATAAAGTCTGAGTAAAATTTTATCGAAATCGATTAATATCTTCAGATTGCCCCTCGACTTTGAAATTAGTAAGTTTATGCATTTCTTACAAATTTTTAAAGCAACTGTGTGTTTTCTTTACACCAATCGATTCATCTCATTATTCTGTGCCTATCAAAATATTAGGTATCATTATTATCAAGAAATCAATAGTTTGAGATATTTCATATTATATATCGAAATATGGCATGATAAAGTATAAAATATCTCGTAAAATATTGATTTTTCGATAACTTTACCTTAATACTTTTATATGCAGAATAATTAGAGAAATCGTATTATGTAAAAAAATATAGGTATATAATTCCGTTTAAAAAAATTGTTGTGATCTTGATCTGATCTTAACGACGCCATGTAAAATAAAATTAGTGATATTTTCTTATGTACCTCCTCGAACCGTACAATTGTTATTTGAAATATTTTTCCATATCTATCATATTTTTCGAGAAATTTTAATATATTATTTAAGAATATATTTCGGACCCGTCATTTTAAAATGTATACTTCTGACCTCAAATTCGTGTTCCAAACCATATTGAGGTCCATAATAACTTTTGGGGGATATTACTAATCGATTTTCAAAAAAAAATTTTTTTCGGCCCACCCTAGTATATATATACTATTAGGACTGAAAAAAATGTATATGTATATATCGCACACACAATCTTCTCTTATCACGCATGTGATACGAATCCTTGTTTCGCGCACAAATGTCGCAGTTACGAGAACTTTCACGTAGAATGTAGATAATAAAGCAGCACGTAGAACGGTCGTATGGTTATCGAGCGCGACTAGATCGTATGTATGTACATGCTTCATTTTCGGTGATACGTGTGGTACCTCACCACCAGAAACCGCGTCGCAAGTCGTAAACGCTTTCGAATACACACGCTGTTCGCGGGCGTTCCCTCGTGACCGATCGTTTATCATGCGTCCGCTCGCGGGCGGATAATACTTGTTAATTTTACGACTGAGAAAGGTCGCGCTCGCGCGAACCCCAGGCAGCGTGAGCGGTGCGTGTCGCGAAATTTAATGAACTGCTGAACGTAATTAGCGGCGCGGGCTCTCCCGGCACGAAGTCTCCGAGATGCGACGTGCGACGCTCACACCTCGCGCGTTACTGGGTTTCTCTTCGCGTCGGTTTATCCATTTTTTTTTCCCTTCTGCTCATATCGGATGATAAGTGAGCGCATAAAACGTGAGACGCAACTCTATTGTTGCGCTTTGCGTTTCGTAGACGCGATTTTGCCATACTGCCGGTCAAAAATTTGAGATCGTCAATTGAAAATCTTCTTTACAAGATAAAATCAAACTTACGCGTTATAATTATTTTACTTATTGTTTTGTAATGAAAAAAATAATATGAAAGACCAAATATTTGAGATCAATTGAAAATCTTTGTGAGAAGCATTCAAACTTATACATATTATAATTATTTAACATATTTTTATTTTACTTTATTTATTTTATAATGAAAATATAATCTAAAAAATATTAATATATTTTTGTAAGTTCTACGGAAAATATTTTTTAAAAAATTTTTATATACAAGAAGGATACAGAATTCTAGACGAGAATATTAGATACTTTTCTCGTCAAAGTAGCCGCCCTTACTTTTTTTATTAGTCTATATTATATAATCTAGCTACACGTTTATTTACTTTTTTTGACGGAAGACGTACTCTTCCACCCATCTTCTAAAATAGTACGCAGCTTGCAGTTTTCGGAAGAAAAAGCTTTATAACCATAGTCCATTTTGTTGAAACGATGCGATGTTAATTGTGTTAAATATAACGCCTATATTTACTTGCAAATTAAGAAAAAATATCGAGCAAAGCATGAATCAAACTTTTTAGTAAGGTTAGTAACTTTTAAGTAAGGTTAACTGGAATACCCTTCAAACTTCATATACGCGATCTCGAACTTTTCGGCCGGCAGCGTATGTATAGATCTTATCAGAAGGAGACTCGATGACGCTATCGCGGTAATACATTTGCGACAGTCGCCCGGTACGTCGTCCGGGCTCACAATTGTGAATCTGTCGTCTCAAGATCGGAACTAATTCTATTTTCTCTATTCTAATTTGCAGGAGGATCCGCAGAAGGAGTAAAGAGACTATCAGCTGATTTAATTCGAAGGCTTGGTGCCGCTCGAGAATGAGGCGAAAGTCAGGAAAGAGAGGCGGGAGAGAGAGAGAGAGAAAGAAAGAGAGAGAGAGAGAGAGAGAGAGAACGGAGGAGGAAAGAGTGTGTGAGAGAGGAGAAAGAGGGGGGGGGGGAGAAGTAGACAATTAGAAAGATACACTCATTCACACATACAGACACTCATACACATACACTCACACACACGCACTCACGCACACACGCACGCACATTTAATTTGATCTCTCAGCCGTGATCCGTCGACAGCGCACTTCACTACGGACCAGCCTCCGTCCGAGCTTCCAATTTCTTCATAAACTTACGCCTTAAGAAATAAGTAATTGGCACTATCGACGAGCGTTGAAGGAAATGCACGTTACGCGCCTGAGGTGCTAAAAGGACGCTTGGGAACGGCAACAGCGGGAGACAACGAAAGCGTAAACGGCGAAAATTACCGTGCAAAGTGTACCCGCGCGGTACATATCCTTGGAGCGGTGAAGAAAGAAACTTGGCGCACGATCGTGTCGCAGAACTGCGTCCTTTATTTAAGTATTCGAGGCTTAACGAGAAAACAGTATTTTATAGCGAGTTTTCGTGAATTTTAGTGAATGCCGTTTTAGTATTCGCGTACAATGTGTAAACAAGCAATTCGCAAGATACGCTCTTTAATTTCTCTCGACGCGCAAAAAAAAAAACGTCCGCCGAACGCGCGAACCGCCTACTCGCCGGGCGGCGAGTTCGCGGATCTTGTTCATCGGGGTTCAATTTCGTCTCGCATTTTTTTTTCACAGCCGCGCGACTCTATATCGCTTTCGTTTGCACTGTACCGAAACGCTTGGATCTTCTCGTGAGAAAGCGCACGATCGTATTCCGACCGCGGCTCTCCTCGAACCGACCGGCGGCGTTTAGTCAGCCGCTGTATACGCGAAACGCCTACATGACAATTTCGTGTAGAAAGCGCAAGATCATTCTAACCGGCTTTTCTCGATCGCGTCGGTTTTCCACCGCGCGTGAAATCGCGCAATCACGATGCGATGACGCACGATCATTCGCGCCGCGGCCTTGAAGAGAGACGAGATGGAGATCGACGTCGACAGTTTCGCTTTTGCTGAAAACGTTGAATCTTAACGATAGATGAATCTCGAGTGCGTCATATAGATCTCACCTCGCCGCCCGAACGATTAGATCCAATGCGTAATTTTAGTTACAATACATGTACATAACGAGATCGATTGCGCGTCGAGCCAGAGAAGATAGACAAGTATAGAAGCACGGATGCACGTGTGTTAGTGTGGTACCCGAAAACACGAAAATTAATAAAAAATATAATAATTTTATTAATTTTATTATAATAAATTTTATTATAATAAATAAAATTAATAAAATTTTTTTTACTTTTTAATAACTTTATTAATTTTATTAATAATAATATTAATGAAATTGGCTGGGGTACTTACTAAGAATCTTAGTACCCCAGCTTGTGATTCCGATATGTAGATCCGCGTGTTCTTCTATACTCGTCTATATATCTTCTCTGGCCGAGCTGCCTTTCAAATAGATTTCTTCTTTCGAAGAATAAATTGAAGACAGCAGCTTACAATTGCGGTCGCGTTCGCGACGAAGCTATCGCGAGCGACGTTTGTCAAGCGAATCTTGCGAATTATATTCGGCGGGTTTCCTTTTAATTAGGGCGGACTATTTATTGCAAACAATTCGTCGGAATTAATGTCCGCTCTGCGTCCTCTTCTGCGTTCACCAAAGGACCAAGATTAACGTTTTAATCGCGCATCTTGAAACTCGATCTTAAACGTCGCGATGCGAGCGGCACGTATTGCATTCCGGGCTCGGCCATGTACGTTTATATATGTATGATTCTTATTTAGTTTTGTTTTTTCTCTCTTTTTATGACGTTGATAGAGCAATGGTAGATAGAAAAATTGCGTTAGACTAAAAGGAATGTATTAATTTATTCGATATGGGATTAATAATGATGACATATGTATATCGAAAGACAGCACGCACGAGGTACGACGTGACATTATCGCAGCACGTTGCCAATTCGAGCTCTATAGACGAATTTTATTTATTTTGTAAGTGTTTTGATTTTTTTGGAGATTGTTTTTAGGTATTGTTAGTATTATTTAATGATTGGACTCGGCCCCCTCGTCGGCGCCCCAGCGAGAGTCCACGTTCCTTACTACTTACTATATTTATCGTCATTTGTAATGTCTACCGTTTTACCTGTATACCTTATATTTATTGTATATTTATTACTTATTTATTTATCTATTATTTATTTATTTATTTATTTATTCATTGAATGCGGACGCGCGACTATATGCGTGAATTTTAGGACGTGAATTTCGCAAATCGATTAATTTTTAATAAGATTTTCTCGCTGTAATCGAGCACCTTTACCACACATTTACCGTTTCTCTTTTCTCATCTTACTAATCACGTCGTCGGATTACTTTGAAAAAAAAACATGTATACGCGATTATAAATGCAATAAAAGGAATTAATCGATTATTCATGCAATTTGTTCTCGTTTCTTCATTGCGTATCCTTGTTCGCTTTCGCAGACAGCGTTCCGTTAACGAAGTTAAACATTACCGATTGCCATTCTTCAACTCTATAGAAGAGAAGAAAATATTGGATCGAAAAATTGCTAATTCGAGTGACAAATTTTATTTATTCTGTAAATTTTTTATTTTAAGAAATCTTAAATACTGTTAGACGGAAAGAATGATTTTTGTTGACGTATATAAAAATTAGGCCAGATATATCTGAAAATAATTATGTTAAATATCAAAATAATCATGTAAAACGTTTCAAACATGATGAGATAATATGCAAAAAGTTTTGATATTTTTATAGCAATCAGTTTAAGCATATATTTAATTATTTAGATTCAATATATATTTGTATCTAAATTTTTAGACACTGCAACAAAGCTGTTTTTTTCCTGTAGTAATTAGACTCGCTCTGTATCTGCAAATTCTTTCTTATTTATTGTTTTATATATATAATTCCTACCGAAACGGATTTACTTGTATACATTTTTATTTATTTACTTAATTGTTTATTTATTTATTTATTTAATTCATTTATTGGGTTTAACATTAATGCACTATGCATAAATTTTATGATGTTTATATGTATAAATTTAACTCTGGCAAAAATTATTTTCAAAATTCTTTATATAATTTTTAAAAATTTTTATATAAATTTCAGGATTTTGCAAAATTCTTATATAATTTTTTTTTTTTTTTAATTTCTCAGATTTTTTATATAAATCAAAACACTTTAAAAATGTTAAGAAAATCTACGTATATCTTTTTTTTAATTCTTTATATATATGTTTATAATATACTATTATAAAATATACTTTATAATATAATAATTTTAAAATATTTTTAAGATTTTATAAATTTCTTATTCTATAATTTTTCGAAGAAAACTTATTCCGTAAATAAAATGTTAGAATGTCGGCAGCCTAAAAACAAATTTGAGCATGTCAGCAAATGCATCTACATTTTTCTGTTGACAGAATATCACTTATATTAGTTAATAAATTAGTAATAGAAACCAAGCAAAACTTGCTGATAAAAAAACACCTGATTTGTTCGTGCTGAAATCTCCAAAAATTGTTAAAATGAAATAAATACATTTTTGGATATTGAAAAAAGAGAAAGCAAAGATCATTTTGAGTGCAAAAGTACAAGTAATACAAAGACCTAGTACGGTATCTCGCGTCAAGTTTACGCGAAGTTCACACAACGATTGAATAAATTATCATATTATGACTTTATGAATCCATTCTAAGCAGAATCCTACAGCTTGTAATTTATCCTCATAAAACTTGTAAGAACTTATCACTAAGTGCTTACAATTTGCTTTATGCAATATTCCAGCAAACATTTTGATTGTGAGATGTTGCCAAATGGAAAACAAAGGCCAGCGAACCAAAACCAAAGATAGAGCTTACTGTATCAGTAAGCTCTGTCTCCTCAGTTGGATACAGTCGAATCTCAAGGGAACAGAAAAACCCTTTGAATTATAGAGTTTTCGACTTATCGAAATTCGAGTAAAAGAGGGTTAATATGGAAATTCGACTTATGGAGGCTTTGTACGAAAGTTTATAATTTTCTGATTATAATCGTTTTTAGAGGAAAAAAAGTCAATATTGAACAGTGAATTATTTATTGCATACATATAATAAATGTAATCATAAAACAAAATATCAGGCTATTATTCATAGCTACACATAAATATAACTTCGAATTATAGAGGTAGCGATAATGGAAGTTCGACTTATAGAGGTCTGGCTACTTTAAATCCGAGTTACAGAGGTAAAATAATACATCTAAATGTCTGACAACTAATTAAAAGAGTTAAGGTAGGTTTTATTTCAATTTATAGAGGTTTTTCGCAGCAGAGAAAGGAATGAATAAATTTTTCGTTTTACAGAAGTTTTCGAGTTGTAGAGATTCGAGCTATCGAGGTTCAACTGTACCTTTGATGTTCACCAAAGAACGTATTCTGAAAAACATATTCCAAAGTCAAATTGAGGATAACACGGGAGCAGCAGATCTAACAATAGCAATGAGACTACAATCTGGCATAACAAACAGGACAGACTTATTTATTGCAAAGCACATGTTATTACATTTTTTAGATATTTGCTGACACTGCTTGCAATAGCAAAACTGCTTGGCATTTACCATCGATCAATATATTCGGTATCTGCTTGCTGTTAATTTCTCGTAATTCTTACGGCTAGCAAGAAGTTGTCTGTAAAGATCCTATAACATTTTCTGCAATTGCAAATGTAGCAACACTTGCAACAAATTATATTTACCAAAAGGTCACAGAATGACAATTCTGTCATATATTTTGTCAATAAAGATTATTGCACATTGACGGAAGTGCATTAAGAATTAGACAGAATTGACAATAACAAAATATGTTTCCCATTTTGCGGCCTTTTGGCAAATATAATTTGTTGCAACATTTGCGATTGCAGAAAATGTTACAGAATCTTTACAACTTCTTGCTAGCCGTAAGAATTACGAGAAATCAGAGATATCGTACGTCTTACTATACGTATAGAATTATAAGTTCTTACAAGTCTTATAATCTCTCGAGAACAAGTTACGAGCCTTACGATTCTGCTTAAAATTGACTCATAAAAAATAAACGCAATGTACAATAATGTACAAAAACTTACAAAATGCGATTAAGTCGTATTAAAACACATGCACGTATATTGTATTATAATTTTTTAAATTAATTATATATATATATATATTTATATATATGTATACGTCCTTGCGTAAGCGGAATAAACTTGATCGCGTTGATCGTTCGATCGTAGAGGTGGACAGCGGAGAATCTAGCAACGTTGGTTTATCATGTCGCTACGAATTGACAGCTCGAGAAAACATATCTGTATTTTAGTTAATAAAGTTCTTATTTTAACGATATCTTTGAGTATTTAGTTCACGAGTGCGAGAGTGTCGAGTATACGCGTCGCGAATATAATACCTTCGATCCGCGCCACGGGCGTAACAATATACATGTATACACACATATAATAAATATAATAAATAAAAATATATTGATCCGAACGCGCCAAGCTTTTGTATATAACATTTGATCTTAAGACTTTATACAATTTAAGATTTACAATGAAATCCGCGACAAAATACACGGGGAAAAAATGATGTAATAATAACTTTAGCCTACAGCATTCAATTGAAACTAATACTGTTAATTCAATGGTTATAATGAAACAAATTGCAATATTAATAAAATACTATACTCCTGTTTTAATAAAATATTATTTATTTCATTAAATATTATTATTAAATATTTATTATTGAATGAACAAGATTATTTTCAACTAGACTGCTGTTGGCTAATGTTGTTAATGCAATATCATTTTTTTTTCTTCTGTACAGCGCAATGAAAGTGTCATGCGATATTGAACTATTTTTGAAGTTAATTACTTGTCGGTTAAAAATACAAAGAATAATAGTGTGATGAAACATTATTATAGTATTACATTATTTTGCACGTTACATTTTCTTTATAAAATGTATAGATATAAGTACAATAAAACATATTATCTTTGATTTTATTGGTAACTAATACAAAATTGGCGTTAGTTTTTTATATCAATCTTTTGTATGGAATCACATTTACTTATGGCGTTGTTTTTTATCTTTTTTTAAAAAAAAGTAAAAAAATTAGTACTTCTTTAATTAATTTTGTATAAATATTATCTGTTCGATTAGCAATATAAATCGAGCAGGTAGCATCAAGATCTTCGATCCAACGGCAAATTAGCAGAAAAAATCTTTGCAGATTTGATTGTCTAAAATATAAAGTTTGAAGAAGTTTAAAGTATTTTTCACAAATTTAAAATACAAAAAATTTTCAAGACAATTATAAGATATTATGAAAGAATTTTTTCATCTGGGAGAATTTTACAAATCAATTACTTTAAAGAGATTCCCTAGATAGCACAGAAAGTTAAAAAAGAATTCATTTTGTATATATTTATTTGTATGTTATATATCAATTCTGAGTTCATTTTCAGGTGCAAAATGAATTCTTTTTCAGAAAAAAAGACTTCTTGTATTTGAAAATTAACTCAGAATTGATAACATACTTTTTTTTGTTCTCTGCGCTATCTAGATCTCGCTATATCGAGCACCGACATTTTATATTATGTTTCTTTTCTCATCTATATTAATTATTAACTATGTCGTCGGATTACTTCGAACGAACGTGTGTATACGCGATTATAAATGCAATAAAAAGAATTAATCGATTATGCATGCGATTTATTCTCGTTTCTTCATTGCGTATCCCGTTCGCTTTCGCAGGCACGCAGCGAACGGATTTCCACGGACGAGTAAGTTATACCGTCTGAATATTACCGATCGCCATTATCCTCAATTCCGACGGAGGCGCGACGAGAGGGAGATGCCGGAGCATCGGATTGAAATACCAGCTGAAATTAAGTGATCAAATTCACGAAAATTTAGATTATAACTCCCTCTACAAAGACACAACGGAATTAACCCTTTCTGTCGGTAAATAAAATATATATAACGGGACTTCTCTCTCTCTCTTTCTCTTTTTCTCTCTCGCGCGTATATGCGCAATCACGTTGCTGTGTGTCATTATATTTATCGTACTTCGTTTTTACGTAATTTTTTTTATATCCAAGTGAAGATTAAACTTGTCGAGTATTATAATATAAATTTATATGACGCTTGAAAAATTAAAATAATTAAAATATTCCCGTGGAGGATAAATTTTATTAGGGGTGGCTGTATACAATTTTTTTTATTGCACGACATTTTCATTCGAATCATTAATAGAAAACATCATTCAGTTCGCAAAAATATTTTGCGTGTTGGTCACAAGAATTTCGGGTCTGCAGGATGCTGTTTAGCGAAATAAACTCCACTCTTCGTGACCGCCGGGCCAATTATACTTCGTACTACTTGTATCGCGCAGGAAGGGGCAACAACACGTACGTATGTCATGTGATTCAACGTGGCGCAATTAATATCTACATTAATTAACCAAACGGAAGATTAATTCCTATCGTCCCGAGCGTGGTGCGGCAATATAGTTCACTGTGCGCGAGTCGAGTTACAAATTGCTCGAAAATTCGCAGGTCATTCCACTCAAATAACGCTCGAACTTCTCCCCTCCGTTCCCTCCGATGGTAAAACACGAGCGAAAAAGTGTAGGACGGTAAACAGGAAACGGTAATGCAATCGCAAAATGATACGAAATAGAGATCTCTGGCGTCGAAATCCAATCGTAATTCACGTAAAGTGAAGTAACGCGGCGCGGCGTGATCTTGACTTTCGAATCGGTTGACGCCCCAATTAACGCGCGGTCGTCCGATATTTATCTCGTAGATACGTGCGACGTTATTCAACAAAATTCGTCACGCGTGGGCGCGATGGTGTGTGCAAGTTTCGCAACGGGAGGATCATCTGTGATGCCCGGGCCGACCGGTTTGTCACATCATGACAACATTATACGTCTCATCAGAATCGTGTTTGATCGCGCAATTGTTCTTCTTTTTCTTCTTCTTTTTCTTCTTCTTCTTTTTATACCACGAGGATTCATTATAACGCGATCAACACACGATCCCGTCGCGGCCGAGATGTATTTCGTCGTCGTCGTAGTCGTCGCCTCGAAATCAATGAAGTTTATCGTGACGAGTTATGAAATTTCATACGTATCTTCTCGCACGCCCCTTTCCTTTTTTGCGCAGCGCACTCGCGCGCCGCGCGGCGTTAGGCAAGAATGCCGTTTTTTCCTCTTTTTTTTTTGTCGATGCCACGAGGCTATGTACGCGCAGCACGCGCGCGGAAGGTTTCGTCATGTTTCATTACGCTAACGTATTCCCGACTTCAATATAATTATCACGAGGGGGAAGTAGGGAGGGGACGGAGGGAAAGGAATATGCTAATCGAAAAGACTTTCGATTTTGAATACACGCGCGATGCAGTCAACGTCGCCTTGATTCTATACACACTCGGAGGAGAGGGAAAATCGTTGAATCGACGGAATGATGTAAATATAGATTGTATAATATACATATCGTCGCGCTGAGGCGCATAAGTAATGTTCTAAAGTTCGCCGATGCGCTGCATCATCCTCTCGCGCTTCCGTATTACGATGCCGCGATAAAGATTTCGACGCGATCAAAATATAATAAGAGATTATAATGCCGGAAGTAAGAAGTAAAAAATGCGGCAAAGTCGTAAAAGACGGGCAGTATAGATGAGTGATTTCGTAATCGCTGATCCGTCTCTAATGACGTCTAATTGGTGTGTACATAACGAAAGTCCGCGCGCGGTCCGGAAGAAAAATTCAAAAGCGGCGACTAAACACACGCATTAGCGCGGGGCATTTCATAATATTGCGAGATATATATATATATATATATATATA